TAGTTCGACTTGCGGGTCGTTGAACTGCAACATAGACGGTTGGCAACTTCGTTGCAGTAATTCCGCCGACTCGGCAGAAACTTTGCCTCCTAAACCTGTACCCCAGCATGTATGAAAGCCTGAAATTGCCATCGGCCCACGGGTTGCACTCAGGCCTCATCCGGCCTCTGCGTGCGTTTCGCCTCGAGATGCAGAGAATGTGGTGCCAAGGGCTCAGCCTCCGGAGTGCCGATACCGCTTACTTGGAGGATCATGGGACTTAGTAAGTAAGGTTATAAGTCCCCTAATTGGGGTTATAAGAATAGTTACCTTAGTTACAACCCTACTTACTAAGTCCCATGATCCTTTAAGTAGGAGAATCTTTCCACCCTGTTGAGAAGTCAGTCTCGCGCCGGAAGAGCTTGAGTTTGTTTGATTTGGGTTTGCCCAGGGAGTTGGGTTCGGTTTTTAAACTTAGGTCCTTATAGGCCATAGCGGGCAGACGCAGGGGAGCACTCAGGCTCAGTCGGCTTGAGATTCGAAGCTAGACTATACCAAAACTTGAACTCGAGACACTGGGCTGGAGCAAGCTGGAGCTGAAGGTGAAACATCGAGCACCACAGTACGGCTAGCACATCACAAGAATGACAGCAAGGAGACACATAAAGCTTCGGGGAGTCTCTGAACTCTGCTTGCCATTCTTGCCTTGTGAAGTCTTCCATTCCACTCCGGGTCACTCAGGTTCTTACCCTGCGCTCCTGTCACAATGCGTTGGCCATATTTTTGTTTACCTCCAGGGGCAAGGAGGGAGAGTGGCCCGGGAACACGTCACTGCTAGCCAGCCCTGGCTTTCCCATGAAGGTCGCTTTGCGGCCAAGTGACGGAACAGGTGCGCTCCGAACCGGGGCAAGGTCTTCAAATTTAGTTGGACCTCTACGGGTTGGCTGTTGAGTTTTTGCCGATTGAGTCGAGCTGAAAGATATCATGTCGTGCCTTGTTTCGCCGCAGTTTCGGGGCTTCGGGATCGGGACAAGAAGCGGTCAGTTCACCTTCGCCAGAAGAGTGTCGATCCCGTCAGTTCTCAGACTAAGCACCACAAGAACAAAAAATCGAGGAAACATCATGGCACCATGGCAGCCAATATGGAAGACCCTGCAATGTGGGTCAAGCTGAGACCGCAACAAGTAGGTGCTAGTGACACACCCGATTTTGGTAGTGGCCCGGGATTTCGTCGCAGACTGCAACATCCCATGGGTACAGCACGGCATACATTCCTCGCCAGGATACCTTCCAGCCATTTTTCAGCGGGAAGACGATCAACTACACGAACATCAGTGACCCGTCGAAAATGGGGGGATGGTATGCGCGCTCAAGGTTCTAATCGGCATTGCTCCTACTGTTCCAACTTCCCATCTGATAGTTTAGGCCCTGCTTCGACCCAGCGACACCAAAGCCGCAAGGAATAATCAGCAACCATGGCTTGCGAAATCTGAGCCCCAAGCATTAAATGACTCCAGCTGGCACCACAGAGCTACAATCACAGGCATACCGTAATGGTGAACACCAGCGTTCTACATGAGAGGTTAGCGTGTGGCTCCTGATCTTTGGAAGTCGGAGTACAAAATTCGACCAACAACTCCCAGCTGTTGGTTTTCTATGGAATGCCACCCACTGCCAGGTAAGCTCGGAGTCGGGATCTCAGACCTCCAGAGTCATCTGGGTTCTGGCTCGAGAAGTCTTGTGGCCAGCCATCCAGGGATGTGTCAGTTTTTGAGATGCCCCAGGCGTGGCGTGCCGGAGTGTGCGGGATTTGGTTTAATGATCTGCTGTCTTGAGCCAGCGACATACCAGCATGGTCGGCCCACCCACATTTTCCAACACAGTCTAGCCTCCTTAACAATGCAACACCGCAGTGGATTCTAGATTCTGCTTTACAGCTCGTAAGGGAGCCCAGAGTGTACTGCCTGCGGCCGATGTGCTGCGAGCGAAAGCACTGAAGACCACAGCCCGCACTCCAGTCCTAACACCCCTTAATGTACTGACTCAGGCGTCCATGGAGCACATGAAATTTCATTGCACAGACTTTAATGATACATGCCGTTGCTTGCGGCATGTGCGACACATCGATGCAGCAGCACTAACTTGGGCACGAAATCAGCTTTAAATTCGTGGCCCTTGGCGCAATACCTGCGCAAAGTGTTCAAGTGCTGGACTGACCGAAGCCCTGCAGTCTAGGATCTGCCACATAACATCGGCGTCCACTGCCAGCGCGGGCAGAAGCCGGGTTCCCCGAACCAGGCCTGAGACCTGAGAACTCATTCATCTTCGAAGGGTTGTTGTCTTTTTCGGGTCGTGTGTCGTTTCTCGCGGCTTTGGAAGGCAGCGCCTTGTGATCTGGATAAAAAACACACCCTCAAAACGATCCGCAGTCTTGCAAAACCTACATAAATCCAGGCTTCCTTGCATGTCTTCACCACCCAAGCTCTGCTTAGATAGAGTTGTCGTGAGATTCTGCCGGTGAGCGAGGGGCAACCTGTTGTTCTCTACTGCTCTTACTTCTCTTTGCATTCGTTTCAGTGTCTTTGGCCACGAACCGACCGATGCCTGCTAACCTGCAGGCCCTATTATAGCATGTCCGGACAGGATCGAAGGAAGCAGCAGAGAGAGGCAGAGAGAGACAAAGACAGATTGTGGCTCCGGCTCGCGGATTGTATAGCCAAGCCTGGTACCAAATCCAGGTCATGCAACACACTTGTCAGAAAGACTCGGCACATAGACTCTCCCAGTCAAACCACCTCAACTTCAAGCGCCCGCGCCTAAGACCTTGGAGGACGATTTCTTCGTCCTGCAAACACCAGAGTGGCTCCTCTGCGGAGCCGCCGAGCAGCATGTTTCAGACCCGAGGAGCATGAGGTTGCAGTTAGGGGTTTACAGAAGGAGGGTTCAGGATTTGCGCGGCTCAAGTTCTAGGCCGAAGCTTTAGCAGACTAGCAGGGGCATATCGCCGACTTAAGCCTTGACCATGGTCTGGTAGGGCCCAAGAAAAAGGCCACAACAGAAGGTAGGAGGTGCGGCTTACTGAGCTACTTGTTTCCCATGTCAAACCGACCTAATGTAAAGATGAGTCTGTGGTCTGCTTACATCACGTTGAGCTGGTGTAGCCTCCACTCCATGCTCTCTTGTCCTAGCATTACCTATCTGCGTTCGGATTGTCTCCCTCCGCGCTTTCCTACTCAATGATGGTGCATAGGTCGCAGACGGCCATGGCAGCGAAGGACATTTCGTGTCGCACTTCGTTCAGGACCAGCTGTGGCTTTGTGTGTTCAGCAACCTGCTCGCATCCTGCGAACTTCTTTGACATTCGCGTGCACGTTGCGCGCAAACGATCCTTCCGGTTCGCTTTCTGCCGCAGACAGAGTGCCGAAAAAAATGACGAGCATTTCGAGAATGCGGCACGCATGCGACCACCGCACTGTCCCATCGATATCTTCTCCTTGCGCAGTACAGGCTGGATGACTCGAGTTGCTTCTATGGGAGCCACTGCAACTCCGACGCAAAGACACAAACATACATGCAATGATACAGGCATCCAGCCTCACCTTTTGCTACCTGCGCCTTTTGTGTCTCTTCCCCGCAAGACTGGCTCCCCTTGCAAATCCAACCCGGCAACAACACCATCCAGCGAGTTCTCGCCGTGGCCAGGAGCGGCTCCCGCAGGCAGTTCTGAAACGACTGAAACCGGAGAACTTGGCAGACTGGAGGCACTCCATGCGCAGGGTTCGTGCGCCGGTCCAGAACATGAGAGTCTTCGGAGTTAAGGTTTCGGATTTAAATGAGTCTGCCTTAAGAATCCCCGCGGAAGGCGATGCGATTTGAGACTTCGAGCTTTCTGGATTGCCATTGCGATGTCTTAGGAAACGCTTTTGCAAGTCTCGCCCAGGCTCTGAACGCAAATGTCCATCCTACTACAAGCTGCTGCAAGATAAAACCTGCAACTGCTCTACTAGTTTCGGTTCGAAATGCCTCCACTATCGGCCCCGTTTCAGTGCCTGCCCCAAGCCCGGCAGGAGCTGCGTCAGGAGCGCGTTCGAGGAAGTTCAGGCTGCAGCTGCCAGCGGGGAGGGGAGGTGGAAGGAAGTGGACCCATGCAAGACGACTTTGTTGCGAAGCGCAGTGCCCCAAACCTTGGCACAGAGTCGCATGGGAGTAGACCCCGACATGTCTGGTAGCTTCAGGCCTTGCGCCCAGCCCTGGTAGGCAACCACCGCATTTGAGCCTGGGGTATCCCACCATCAATTCACCATCCAGTTCGTTCAGAAACAACATAGATTTCACGTCCACCCCCACTTCGTGCTAAGCACCTCGCATGGTATGTCCGATTGTTAGCACCGAGAATCTTCCATCCGATTACACCATGAAGCGGTGCAATGTCAGAGCACCTGGACCTAAGTAAATGATGTGCTGATACTGTAGTGGCTTTTACCTGAAACCACACATTTCAACCCTATAGCAACTCTCGGTTGCAGGAGTCCCTGCATCGAAAGCTGTGAAGTTGTTTCAGAGATTCATGAGTTTCTTCTTGAATCCTGTGAATTCTGCAAGGAGCAGCTTCAAGAGCAGCTTCCCGACAAGGACCGGCTGCTGTTTAATGCTCGGGGTTCTGTTCAGAGTTTCAACGGAACCTTTGGGTCAAATATCCTTTCGGTTGAGAAAGCAGCTTGGCTTTAAGTGGCTGGCCATTTCTATAATGCGGCTGACCATCTTAAAGCGGAAAGTATGCTCTTGGCTAGGGGCAGGAAGGAGATGAGATTGGCGGAGTTGGAGATTCAATGCGTTTCCACAGTACGGAAGATGTGCTTGTGCCTTTCGGCATGTCGCATACTGCACAATTTGGATAAGTAGGAAGCCCCTCTCGCCACACTTGAATTGAAAGCTGCATCGCGCCCAGATCCTGAACCTTTCACCCACAAAATAGAGCGGCCGTGACCTGCCGTAGCACTCGTATTACTGTTGACGTCCAGGCGCTTGAATCTGGGACGACAGCCTCTATGGTCCTTCTTTACCCGGATGGTGCAGGCCGGATCACTTCAGCGTCGCCGCCAGGTCGTGCATGGCATTTTGAGCGGAAACCGTACTCCTCGCTGGCCGTCATTTATTAGAGAGACTGCCGTTTGCACATCGTGTGCATGACTGTGCATGTGGAGTGTTGAACTGGGAAGAGCATGTTAGATTATATTCAAGAGTTTCGGGCAACATCTCCTACTCTCGGCCCGTGGCTCATCGCGAGCCCGTTGACTCGATGACTAGACGCTGCAGGCCCCTGCCTCAAATTGCAAAAAGGGTGAGACTTGCTGATGCACCAAGTGGCCTCAGAAGGCCTGAAGCCTTCTGCTGCTGCATTTTGAATGCAGAGCAGACATCAGAAGCTCAGCTCTACAGTGACAGACGATGAGTCTGACGGCTCTTCGATGCGAGCCTCGATAGGCGCCTGGCGTCTCAGCGGAGCCTTCATTGGCGACTCGATCGTAGTGTGCGCCGTTGAAGAGTAGTGATACGCAGACATTGTTTCAAAGGTTTTCCAGGTACCCTGTCAACCGATGCATCCTTGGCGGAGGTTAGGTGTCTCGCTGATGCGCCCTTGCAGAGCAATGGTTCTCTCGGCTTCTCAGCCACGCCTTGCAGCCTTGCAGGTACGCAAGACGCGCTGATGTCGATGATTTGTTCCAGGCCGGACCAACCATCGCACGGAAGCTTCCGGAAAGCTTCCGAAATCATGGATCTGCAGATGACGAACTACACCTAACATCTGCATGGAGTTAAGAGCTTGAACTGGTGAACTGTTCTATGCGCTCGGGTAGATTTTGTTTCTAGAAGCGAATGCCAGGTTCTAGGCCCCTGATGTCTGATACCGTGTTCGGGTTTTGGCGAAGCTGACGGACATGCTGCATGCTGGAGGGTCTCAGATGGAATGCCTTGGCTTTCTTCTTGTGACCGGCCGAAACTTCCAGAGTCTTTGCTTTCAGGTTATGCGGTGGGAGGTCGGGGAGCTGCCGATTTGTTTTCAGAAGTAGAAGTTCGAATGAAAGTGGCCATATCGAGACCCGACTCATTGCAGCAGGGATGTTGTCATACTTGGTTATAGGACTAGGGCCTAGGGTGTTCCTTATCTCAGGTCGTGATGGTGACCTCCACTCATCGGCCGGATCGCCAGGCCAGCAAAGTCTGTACTGCCTTAGCGCGCGGATCATGGTGTCTTAAGCAAGCCCCAAGCAGTGAGGTCGAATGCTTCGAAGCGTTGGGTGTGGGTTGTCAGTTGCCCTATAGTAAGACCTGTGATGGGATGTTTCCCGTAGTACCTGAAGCTTTCCACTGTCGCGCTGTAGTCATCGTACCTGGCCGAGATAGCTATAGAAGCATTCATGCGCTCAAGGGCGACAAGGCTTCACCCAACACTAACACCCCACCTCGTCTTCTGACCCCGCACGCTACGCCTCACAACTTGTACGGGCATACCGAAACGCTTCCATGTGGCGAGGATGAGCTGGAGAGGATCGCGAGCTCCAGGGGCAAGGCCTTCAGTGCCTTGAGGTGTTTCGGTGTGCAAACACTTGCTAGCATTTTAAAAAATTCAGGGCTGACAAAGGGTGCCCGGCAGTCGCAACAGACCTGGATGCAAAAGGATGGTTTCAAGCTTGGGGCTTTTGTGCTCCAGCCGCTTGCGCATCGCGATCCGATGCAGCGTGGTGCGTCTTCCACATTCGGCATTTGCTGCCCTGAGGTACACCGACAGTTGTGCTTCGGATGTACGGGGCCTTCTCTTTGCTGAAGATGCTCTCGTTCGTCTCGGACTTGTAAATCTTTGGTCGACATGTGAAGGGAACCCAAATGTCTCCGGACACTATACTAGTCTAGAGGAGGCCCTTGCTTAGGTCGATGCTATGAAGCATTGTAAAACGATAGGGGAAACCTAAAAACGATACCCCCATCTTAAAGACCCATAGCTCAAGACTCAAGACTATTGTTTCGAGCATTTCTGCGACTAGTACTGCTACTACTACTACTACTACTACTACTACTACTACTACTTCTACTATTACCTCTACTGCAGGTTAACGTAGAGAGACCAGCGACTGAACAGCCCATGTTCTGGTAAACTGCTGGGGGTCTAAAACGATACCCCAAACGATACCCTAACGATACCCGAAAATTTGCTCACCCATTTCTGATGAAGCGCCCGCAACACAGGTGTGCTGACGTGTCCCACGCCCCATGCACAAACGGCCCTTCACCCTTGCAGAGAAGCATACTTAGGCTCTGCTTGGAGCGGCTGATTCATCTAGTTTGCCTGCATCGTATGAATCCAAGAGTGCCACCGGTACGTCATTTAGTCTAACATGCGTCAAAGATACAGTCATGTGCCCAAAGTCTTGTAAAACGATGGGGGAACCCAAAAACGATACCCCTTGTCAACGGCCGCTTCTAGGAACAATAATATTGGTGCGGCCTGTACGAGTTATAGTGCCGACTTCAATCTTGCCATTCGCAAATCATCCAACAAGGACCATTTTCGAAGATCGGCCTTCATGTAAGATCGGGATTAGAGTTAGAGCGGAGGACTTGTTCAAGACCCATTGGCTCTGCTCCAGAATGCAGGTGATACCAGGCTACGACGGAAACCCATCACGTTTGTGGCAGCCTCATCCGTGGAAGTTTACAAGACCTCGTGCTTTTTTCGGAACCCCATGAACCCATGGTGTGCCCAAGACGAACAAGCCCTGTTCACATCTGCCCAGACTTCCATCCAAGACCTTATAGCAAAGTTTCGTAGCGGGGGTCACCCATGTTTTGGGAGTATGCAGCTTTGGGAAGGGGGTCTCAGCATCCAGATTCTGCCATATCCGCGGGGAGTTGAACACTTGAAATGAGAGTCCTGCTAGGATCGGAAGCACGACGGAGAGCCACTCTGATAATTAAGATGAATGCATACATCGTTGACGAGCACAGACAGACAAGCAATGTCGGTGTCTGGACCGTTCATCATCCGTCAAATGGTAACGCAAGTGCAGTGGCGCTTGGGCAGCGGACCGTCAAACTGCCACGGCGAAGAGCCTTAAAGTCCCAAGCCGCCGACCAGGAGAGTACCCTCCGGTGATGTGGCGATGTCCCGCGCCTTCGGTGACATCGATGCTCACATGCCCCTCAGCTTGAGCTTTGCATGTTTGTTTGCGATGTCGGAAGTCCCTTGTCCATGAATCAAGGCTAGTGTTAACGTGTTCAGCATGCTTTCAAATCATTTCTGGGCATTTCTGTCAGCCTCAAACCTTGTTTGGACTCTTATTTGTTTATCAATCAGTTTGGCTGACAGGTTGCTGAAACCAACAACACAGCTTGAGCCTTAAGTAGGAGTTTACGTGTTCAGCACAGGTTTGAGGGTGCTTAGCTTTTGAGGTGCCTGTAAATGAAACAAGCCCGAATACCGAGGTATGGCATGTCATCAGAGCCCGAGTTTGTCGACGAGTGCTTGCTGCAGGTGCCTCCCAACAAAGGGGAACAAAAACTAAAACTTCAATGACTTCCCTCACCAACCTCGCCCGATCTAAGTTCCGAAATTTGAGCCGTGGAGACTTTGTGTTCTTCAGCGGGCGAGGGGTTTGGGCTTTGGGGTTGGGTTTCCGGTTTCCGGATGCTTGGTTTCGAGATGCAAATCAATGTGAGGTCGGTGTTGCGTGAAACCAGCGGCTGCGCATTCCTACCAGAGCCTTCAGATTTCTGGGCTTCGACTCAGCACATGCCCTGTATAGCGCCTGAAGGTGTGTGCTGTTCCGTGTCGGCAATGTCTGCATGCAATAGCATGGGAATTAGACTCGGGTCTTCTTGCATCCCGAAAAATCGATATTTGCCTTGTCCGTCACAAGGCTAAGGATCACGAACCGCCGCGCGCCGACTTGATCGAAAAGCTGAACAACAGCTTACAGCTAACCTCAAACCACCAAACAGACGCGCCGCAAAACGTGCCAGTTAAATTCGAGTAGCGTTGATGCATTAGGCTGCTTGAAACATCCGGGACTCGACAACATCTGGTTATCTGACGCTAGTATCTCGAATCAATGAACTACTGTACACATTCGTGGGCGCATCTGGGGCCTCCGACAAACTCCCGGGTGCTGCATGCAGCCCTGGCCGAAGGACTCTCAAGAGCATCTCATCATCATGTGCTCCGACGGTGTGCCTCGGCCTGCACCAAGTCACTCATGATTGCAGCGCAATCAGAGAAATTCAGGCCGTATGAAGGTTGCGATGATCTTCCGAAGCTCATTCTTTTGGGAAGGCCTGGTCTGCCTCCAACAGACCCAACCAGGTGTGGGATGTGCTGACTCCGAGAGAAGCAGTTGCGGCCTCGGACAAAGCGCTAAAGACGGGAGAGGGTTGGCCGATTTCGGATAGAAGCACCCCAAACCAGACGCTGGAAGCCATTGCGTCATCAAGGTCACCATCGTTTCCAAGTTCGCCGCCGACGATGCGCAGCGTGCTGCCGAACGGCTTGCATCCAAGGCCGCCCCATGTCATTTCAACGCTTGCAAGTCTGAGATTCCTCTTGTGTTGCTAACGCCCGTCCCCGGTGGCTCTACTGGGTAGCAGTCTAGGACACTCTGGCGGTGTGGACTGGCCCGACACTCCTCCGTTGGGTTCTCTATCAGAGGACAACCCTCTGTACACTGTAAAGAGACGTCCTCTGAGGTCCGTTATAACTCTTGCCCGCCGGCCCCCAGTTTGACAGACGGGCTGCAGTAGATGAGCCTTGGAGTCTCTAAACGACCGGCACAAAAACGAAAGACTTTTGTGGCCCAGGCAAGCTTAAACAGAACTGCAAACCCTGCATAAATGGCCCTCCTTCCAAGACGTTTCCATACCATAGAGACTCATTGTCTCAGGATGCCAAACAGCCGCACTGTTTCCTAATTACATCCTAAAAAGCCCTAACCCGAATCCCCCCAGAAAAGAGGCTCAAAGCCGATGGCAGCAGCAGGAGCCTCCGTTAGAAAGCCTCAGGGCTTGGGGTGCAAGGGTCAAGGGCCTCGCGCGTCGCGCTTAAAGCATCTTACTCAAGCGGCCACAGGTGCTCAGCGTTGCCGGGGGATTTACGGTGAAAGTGCTGCTCTGGGTAGCAGGGACGGAACGGGATTCAAAGTTCAGGGTCAAGGCTTTGGGGCCGTTGAGATCCTGTGAGGCTGTCGGCTTTCAGGTGAGCCAAACTTGATGCGCCCCTTGGATGCGGACTTGCATCTTTAGCGGTGTTGGGATCTTGATCCCCAGGCTGAGGAATGGCGCACTCTGTTGTTCTTAGCGTCGGAACTTGTACGATACTGAACCCAGCCTTCTAGGCACACCTGCACAACGCGTTCGATGAGTCAAGCCAGCCCAGCAGAATCGTGAGGCTGAAATCGGAAGAGTGTTATGTGCAACAAGCCGATCGAACTTCACCCACGGGGAGCGAAGTCAAGTTGCCTGTCTTGTCTTCAAAGTCGTCGTTATAACCGGTTGCTTGTTCACCAGAAGATGCGAAGGGGACACATTCCGCAATCTCGCAGAGTGCCTTGCAAGCTAACTACTACGACAAGAGACCACAGCATGAACACTGGCATGCAATGGGTGAACTTCGCTTCATGATCGATATCTGAACGGCTGATAGTCATCAGTGTGTGAGGAGGGTGGGCGTCCCTGCCCTCCCGTTGTTTGAACCCGAGCCTGTCACAGATCGGGCACGATGCATATTCGGGCCGATCATCTCCGCAGGAGTGTTATGATGGCTCCATTGACGACATCACGGTCATCGTAATTCGGACGCTCAGCCAGAAAATTGATCACGAATCTTGAACCTACGAACTCAAATTAGGATGCCCGGTGCCGCCCTCGGAATCCCCTAATCGAAGGAACTGAAAAGGCCCGGCCAACTGTGTCATGGTTTCCGGGCAACGGGAGCAGGCATTTTTAGGTCGAAGGCTCGTTTGATGAAAGTTCTCAGCCAATACCTTAGGCTGCATGCAGGGCGTGGCCCTTCCGCCAGGTGCCTGAAGACTACACTATATCTCCCGTGCCGTTGATCGCCATGTGCTCGTCTCGCTACTACTGCTGCTGCTGCTGCTGCTGCTGCTGCTGTTGGTTGCCGCTACTCCACCAGTCCTTCAACCACCGCTGCTGCTGCTGCTGCTGCTGCTGTTGCTGCTGCTTCTGCTACTAGCGCTGCTGCTACTGCTGCTAGCGCCACAACATTTACTACTGCTGCTAGGCTTATGCACAGGTTTCTGTGTTTTGCACGGCCTGCGGGTTCCTTTTCACACAATGTTTCGTGCTTGCACTGGATTGGACCAGTTCCATATTGAGTTCGCAGTCCGCACTTGCTGTCACTAATAATTAGACTATGGTTGTTGAAGTGGCTCCTGCTCATGCTACAACATTCATTGCAGCAGGCACTGTTGTCACTTCAACCGTCACCCATTTTAGTTTTCCGACGGCTTCATGTAGTTATGAGGCCCCCATCATCTTCGCCTTAGCATTACTTTGTCGAGTGCA